CTGCCTAGGCTCAGTGTGCCGGGCTCTACTGACTCCCCATGGGAGACCTTGATTTGGGAGATGTGGGGTGGCTTGGGAGAGGGGGCTGGAGGGTGGGAGGAGGAAGGAGGTGGGATCTGAGGGTAGTATATAGAGTAGAAAATTTCTTAATAAAGAAAAATTAAAAAAAAAATTAAAAAACAGAAAGTAAATTTAAAAAAAAGTGTAACAAAAAAAGTGCCTATATTGTCTCCCTGTTCCTGACTGTGGCAGTGATGTAAGTGATTAAATTACTTTCCCTAGATGACAGTGACCTGGATTGTAAACCGAGTAAACTCTTTCTTCCCTTGCTTTGCATCAGGATATTTTGCCACAGCTGTGGTGGAGAAACGAGGCCACCTTTCTTGGCTTTCTTATATTAATCCAGGGAGTGATTGATGATGGATCAATGGTCACCACAACTACCCAAGCCAGTGGCTCTACCATTTGTTCTCTCATTGATGAGGGATAAGGAATGCAAAGGAGTGAGCAAAGGGAAAGCTTGTTAAGGAAAAGTGAGACATGCCTAGACAAGGGATAATGCCCAGCCACATTGTGCTAAGCTTCTTCTGGGCTCCACGACTGAAACTGGACAATGAAGTTGGTTATTTCTTACTGAGATTCGTTATTTTCTGGACATAAATGTGAGCTGGCCCTGCCATGGGACGATGATGCACCATTTGCCCAGTCAATAAAGAGATGAGTCACTGGCTATCATGGTCATCCCTGTTGATTTTTTTTAAAGACTTATTTAGTTATTACAACATACAGTCTTCTGCCTGCATGTGTCCCTGCAGGCCAGAAGAAGTCACCAGATCTCACTACAGATGGTTGTGAGCCACCATGTGATTGCTGGGAATTGAACTCAGGACCTCTGGAAGAACAACCAGTGATCCTAACCTCTGAGCTATCTCTTCATCTCCCCACACCCCCGTTCATTCTTGTTTGCTTATTTGCATGGCCATTAATTAGACCATGTTCTCTTGGTCATGTGACCAACTTGTTACCACAGACCCTTGACTTAGGAGCTGACTCCTAAGTCAATACTTTATTTCTACTGATTTACCTCTTAGACATATTCTCCATGATTGGGACAAATTTATCCACAAAAAAAGGTTAAATTAGTCATGTTACTGTTAAAGAATAACCAATGATAGGCAGTTTAAGCTTTAATATCATTCTTCAGGTCTCTGCCTACTTTTGCGAGTGATTCTGGACATAGAGGCACATACCGTTAAACCCAGCACTCAGGACTCAGATGTCTGTAATCCAAGAGTTAAAGAAGTGTAATACAGGAAGATCAGGAGTTCAAGGTCACCCTCTGCTACATAGCAAGTTCAATATCAACCTAAAATACATGAGACCCTGTACCCAAACCACAAAATAAAAACAGGCCCATAAGAAGCAGGGAGTGATAAGATACACCTATGATCCCAGCCGCTAAGAAAGCTAAGGCAGACTGCCTCAGATTTAAGGCCAGCCAAAGCAGAGCTACATAAAAGACTCTGTTGCAAAACAACACACTGGCCTCTTTGTATTCACATCACAGTCCCTTTCGGTGCTTGAATACACATGCTGGCCCCGGATCTGAGGTCACCAACCAAACAACAGG